TACATACAAGCACAGAAGACTTCTCAGTGGAAAGAGGAGTAAAACAGGGCTGTAAGCTATCGCCTTTGTTGTTCTCTCTCTTTCTGAATGACCTGCCCACATTTTTGGAACAAGCGGAAACACACCCCCCTGCGCTTGATGGGACTACTATCGCATGTTTACTGTATGCAGACGACCTGGTCATCCTGTCGCAATCGCCCATTGGCCTACAATGCGGATTAAACGCCCTGATTAAACTGCAAAGAAAGATGCTGACTGTTAATGTAACAAAAACAAAAATCCTAGTTATATCGAACGGCAGGCGGCCGAACCCTCGAGAGTCTTGGACATATAATGGCGAAAGTCTAGAGGTAGTGAGCTCATTCAATTACCTAGGGGTTGTTGTATCGCAAACAGGCACTTCGACTCCAGCCATAAACCAGAGAAAGATACAAGCTAGAAAAGCTCTGTAGCAACTACGACGGATGGTAACAAACAACAACAGCTACAAATATTCGATGCTTGTGTGATGTCGGTTGCCACCTATGGCTCTGAGATTTGGGGCCAAGGTGACTCAAAACATGTAGAATCCATACAGAATACTTTCCTCAGATGGACGCTTGGCCTCCCTAGAAATGCCCCAGCGGCAGGGATGTTGCTGGAACTGGATAGAAAGACAGGAGGTACAATTCTGAAGGAGTGAATGGTAATGTACTAGGTTGAGATGCAACCAAACAAAAAGCCCATTGCTTAAGAAATGCTGGGATGTGCAAAAGAGATGGGGAAGTCAAAGGAAAAATCGCACATGGGGCAATGATGCCTTGAAAAGCATTCTGGACAATCTGGGCTTTTCTTACATATGGTGGGCGGGACCAATGGGAAACTGGTTCATTGACTGGTTCTGAAAGACGATCCCTCTGAAATGTTGATTGGCGACGTCTCGGTGGACGAGACACTTGGTTTCTCGCTGACTGAGTTCGTGGAGATGTATATCGAGAGGAAATAAACTGGCGTTGCACTTGAGCTGCGCCAAAAAGCACTGGTCTTTCACTTGGCCTGTCTTTCCTCTTGGTCTGCCGCCGCAACCATGTCGTCGAAAGAATCGAACTTGGTCCGTCTCAGATATCTCCTCATATCTGGATTCTTAGCACCCTGTTCAAATTTACTTTGAAGTAAATTCCTTAAGCAAGGAGGAATCTGTGGTGATTCTGATGAATCTAGCTCCTATTCTCTTTATCCTCGCCCCCCAATCCTTCATTGACTCTCCCGAAAATTGCGCCATTCTGGCCAATTCATGGTGAAGAGTCGTGAGATCCTCTTTTCTTTCATACTGGGCAATTAGGATTTCTATGATATCTCTCAGTTCTGTGGCACCTTCTGCTTTTGGGTCCGCGGCGAGGAAAGTCCGGGCAGGACCTGTAACTTTGAGTCGGACTATGGCGATCGCGACTGGATCAGCCCACCCCACCAAAGTTTTTGCAGTTTGGATTTTCTCTGTAAATTTCCTAACAGGAATTGATCCCTTTCCCCCCGAAAATTCAGGAATTGATCTAAAAATATCTGAATTCAAAGAGGAACCTTCCTTCCCTTCAGCCATGCTTCTTTTGTTACTTTCTCTTGAATTTACCTTTCACAAGAGTTCCAGCCGAAACTGTTACTCCCAACTCGGAATTGGACTCCCGTGAATCCAGAAATATTTCAAACGGAAAAATTTACTTTCTGGATTCCTGATCAAATTTTGATTACGCTATTTATCAACTAATCAAAATTTGATGTCCTTCCGACTGCGCCAAATGTAACGGGCACGGGGCGCAGTGGGTTGGATTTCTGAAAATATCAAATATTAAGTTAAAATAACAACCTTTACCTTAACGCGCCCCGATTCCACTACTATGAATTCCCTTCCAGGAAAAATCAGGTCCGTGCCAATTCAAATTCGAGCGGGAGTAACTTAGGCGTAACTCAAGAAGACAAAAAAAATGTATTTCCAAAAAGAAAACTAATTTAAAAAAAGGACAAAAGAAATGTTAGTCAAACAATCGGTCCAACCCCTTTACAGTATTTTCAATGAGTACCTTGCAAGTTCTGGGGAAAACTCACGAGCATCGAAACGAAAAGATCCTCTAACTATAACGTTGTTCCTCTGTATGTTTATGAAGAGAGAAAGGCGGCCAGTTTCAAAACACCCACGATCTAAAAAGGGCCCGAGTACCCCGGTCAAATCGGTACTAACTCGAGTTCTTCGAGTTCGAGCTTTTCAGTCCTCGGGGTGAGGGATCGAGGGAGGGATCTTCAGCTGAAGTCTTGCTGGGTTGGAGGCGATTTTTTTTATCGTTTTGGCAGCGAGTTTTGGCGATTAGACTTGATTGGAGGGACTTTGATACCCATTCGCATAATGATGTTGTGGCTCCTTGTACCGTGTTTGGGTAGTACATTTGAGAAGGAAAGATCCTGCATTTAAATTGTAAGGAGCCCTTCCACGGGTTGGTTGACCCCAAACACTGGGTTCACCTCCCTCCACGTGTTGATGGATGTTTTCCTTCACCTCCTTCAGCTTCCTCCCCGCCTTGACTCTACTGATACGCTGGACGTTGCGCGGCCATAGGCTGGCATACGTTACACATTACTGAACAGGGTAAGTTTTAGGATTTTTCTATGATGGGCTCTATGTAAACTTACTAACACCATAAAATGTGAAGGACACTCTTATGAATGGTCCCTGAAAGCTTTGGCAGCATTTCAGGACGACACAGGCAAATATTCTTTATTAAGAATAAAAAATATTTGCAACTTAACCCTTTGAGGAGTGGATTTTTTAACACCTAGATCACTCGTAGTGAATACATGGAGGGCAGGAGGATGTCAGCCCATATACATATACGGGCATACTCGTCAAAGGATTAAGGATTACTGCCCTGTTTTATGCCATGTCCCTGACCCATCATCCCTAAGTTCGTCAGAGATTCAACAGCCTTGAGACTTCTTAAAGATACTTCCCATTCCCTAGAACTTTGTAAAATTCAATATGAAACTAATACAGATAAAGGAAGTTGTCTAACTTAAATTCTGTACCTTTCTCCAAGGAAAACACGTCCGGATCATAACTTTGAAATTCCATAGAATTTCAATAATGTTACACTCTCCAAAATTTCGCTTCAATATTAAAAAGAAACTCCATAAGATTTCTAAAAAGATATGTAATAAAACTGAACCTAAAGAATTGCTTGCGTAGAAAGTCCCCAGAACATTTTTGCATGATAACCTTCCCAACCTTAGAACATTTGTGTTAAACTTGAAAACATTGTTCGGACCAGTCCTCTTTAGCCTCCCCCCCCCCCCCACACCCAGGCTATGCGTGTAAAACATAATTCAGCAATCGAAGGGACGTAATCAACCATTAATCCAAAACACCAAATCTCCAAGGATATTTATTTATTCTTCCAAAGCAATGATGAAAGCCAATTTCTGCAACCGAGACAAACATCACAGACAGGGTAATAAAATAAAAAATGGCATTCAAAGAGTGGTTTGATGCACAACTAAAAAGTGGTAGCACCCTAAAAAGCATAGCTCATAATAGACATGCAATGGAATCCATGGCTCATAAAAGAGCTGTGCTACATAAGTGCACAGCTCATAAAAGAGTTGTGCTACACAAGTGCACAGCTCATAAAAGTTATGCTATATAAATGCACGACTTCTAAAAGTCATGCTATATAAATGTACGGCTCATAGAGTCGTTCTATATAAGTGTACAGCTCCGAGTCATACTCTAGAATGTACAACTGAAAGAGTTGTGCCTTGCAGACTTACAAAGCAAAAGCCTTAATCTTCCTCGCTAAATAGACTCCCATGAAAATGACGCTGGTCATGGTTGCAGAGATAGAATATGTACAAGACAAGGTATGAATAACTGAAAGGCACCTCAAACTTTTTAGCGTGAATTCAGGGATGCACATAGCACTTACTTCAAAATAACTGAGAAGACTTAAAATCACAACTCCCAACCTATGCTCCCCCTTTAGACTTGAAAGAAGAATCAACACTTTGACACAAGGGAAAAGCCAGTAGAGATGTGAAAATATAGACATGCACAACAGGTTTCAGCTATCACTGGTGCAGCTGCCGAAGTTCAGATGCCAACTGCATGTTCTGAATGCTGCATATACAATGAAGTTGATTTGAAGAATCCAACCAAAAAGACAAATCCCATCCCATTTATATGCTGAGCTTATATATAATTTGGTTACAAAGAAATATACCGCCAGAGATAAGACTACTCACACAGTGATGCCTTTCAGATAGAACAACCAAGTATCAATGCATAATCAACCAATGCATAATCACAGACCAGACTGACAAATCTGAGTGGACAATATCTGTGAAAAACCACATGAAATCCCTGATTCAAGGGCAAGTAGAAACAATGAATCTGATTGCTTGTTCAAATTTCCTTCATGCAAGTAGCTAGTTGGAGGCAAATTAGAAGGAAATTGCAGAAAACCACTTACAAAAATTATGGAGGACTAGATAGGGAGAACAAAGATGACAATATAGATTACATTTCATGGAGGAAAGAGTATGATAAGTAACTTGTGAGCAAACTTGATGGTCTAAAATGGCGACAACCGATCCCCTTGAGGATTGGTCGGACCGAGGCAATGGCTCTTCTTGCGTAGGCTCCTGAACTCGCTTCCGTCAAGTGATGACTCATCCAGAGAGACTTCGATCCGCATCCCATTGCGATGAGAGCCAACTGGAGTTACTCGACCGATACTATCAGCATGTTGACGCTTCTTCTGGTTGCTTTTGATTACATCTGCGTCATTCTCGGAGTCACTGTGGATTCCATTTGCCGAATGAGGCCGTGGGCTGTAATAGGACTCGTCAGGCATGTGGCGCTTCATGACGTGCCGCTCGACCCATTTCAGGAGAGTCAACACCGAATCCGTGCTTGACAGGCACTTGCTTGCAGCAGTGCGGACCAAGTTGTGCGAGGTAATGCGGAATGTGTAAGCCACTCCTTGGAGGGTCCGCATTGCATCCTCATCTGTGACATCATCCCCAACGTAGATGACACGGATCCGCTCCAGCCAGTCCACTCCGAACATGGTTCGAAGGATGTAGATGGATGCGCGACCCTTGGAAAGGGAAGAAAATTCTTAGACCTTGTTCATTTATCGGATATGCTGAGAGACAACAGCAGGCAAATTTTAGCAATGACCAGACAGGGCATTGTCTCTCCATGTAAATGCAACATTAACTGGGCAGCTGAAAAATGACCATAATTTCTCGCTATAATAAAAATAAAGTGACTTTCTTCAAGCATTGTATCTAGATTTCATCGAGAATAAAAATTATTTCCCAGAAGTTAACACTTCCAAAACTTCATCTAGCCACAGTATGAAATAGCCATGGAAGTTCCAAAGTCGAGTGACAGGGGCTAAATGATATAGACCATCACTTGACCAAATTCACTTCCTTGTTGGCAATTTCTTGCTGAAAATTAGGAAATGTCAAGAGGATTTTTAAAATAAATTCCCAAGTTAATCTCTGACGCTTCTTTCAATGTAATTCAAATAAATGAATTTTCAGCTTATCAACAGTATATAAACATCAGTATATCAACACCTGCTTGCAAAAACGTAATATTGCATCAGACATTCATAACTGGAATTCTGACCTATCTCAAATATAGAAGCACAGTGGAATCGCAGGGTCAAAGTGGTATAATTAATCAATTTGAACCCTTTAGAACCAATGTTTGCATATGTTCATTCGATATAGAAATCACTTATCCCGGCCAGAAAATGTACCATTCTAGGGAATTCAAGCTTTGGAAAGCTCTTTCTTCAGTAACGTATTCCTGAATATATTAGGTCAGCAGTTCTCAGAGTGAGAGTGTGTGTATGTGTGTGTGAGGGGGGGGGGGGGGTACGAGAAGGTCCCAAGGAGGCGACAGGTCATGGAGGTTTTAGTTGCATTCATTGAATTTAATACAAATTGTGATTTACTATTTTACTTAGGGCTTACTATTTTATTTTCCTGAAAAATATTTGATCCGTTAGACCAGGGTTTCCCGAGCCATGGGTCGCGAAGATTAGATTTAGGGTCACGAAGCAGCAACTAAATGTCTACTCCTACATGCTTACTCTAACATGCCAATATAAAAGTATATCAGTACATTGAAGCCAGTGCTATGTTACTACTACATAGGTGGCTGTATGGGCTACTTTTATCAAGATGATTTGAAATATATAAATTCCAAGCAATGTGGCATGTTTCAGCTCGTAAAAAGGATGAAGAAATACCCCTGCATTCAAAAGAAAGCAAAGCATGCACCCACAACAAGGTTGGTTGAAATTAGCACATGACCTTACTTTGTCCCACTGGACAGGTGGCCTGGCTTCGATGGCACAGTTAGCTAGATAGGCCCTGTAGTCATTCTTGGTTATGATGGCTGCTGCTCTCTGCTTGAATGCACTTCTAAGCTGGATTGGGACGGCTCGGAAGTGATAGGTCAAGATGGAACCCTTGTTCTCAATCCAGGCACCCTCCTTGCAGCACTCGTCCTGCAGCTCCTGACACATTCTTCTCATCTTCACAAAGTATTCCTCTGGAATTGGTTGGACGAATTTGCTTCCATCTGGGTGGAGGATCTCCAGGCCATGACTCCCAGCATAGGTGATGTCACTGATCCCAACCAACTTTTGTATGTTTTCCAGGTTCCGCCCAGATATGATAGCAATGGCAACGTCGCTGCTTTTGCTCAGTCGGGCCAGGATGTTCTTGGTCTCCGTCGGCAAAAAGGCCATGTCCAGCTTGGGTGCATCAGGGGCCAACGTTCCATCATAATCCAAGAGGAGGGCTACCTTGGCTGAATCTCCAATGTAGTCACTGAGGACTTCATCAAAGTCATCCATTGTCATGGGACCCAGGGCCCTGACTGCCATGGGCTCAAGTTGCTCCTCTCCTAAGACCAGCCCACCCACTGCCTGGAACGATGGAGCATATGTAAATTCAAGAACTGATAAAAGGAAGCTTATAATTCCTACCACAAACCTGTCCATCCAAACAGCCCCAGTTACAACAGAAATGCATGGCTTTGGCTTATCAAAACAAGGCTTTAGCCTGCTCGTGTCCTACTCAGTTGCAGATCCCATTATTGATCATTTGTCGCCATTGGCAACAAAGCCAACTAGAGAATATAATTTTTCAAGAGGAATCTGCATTTCTGACACAGGTAAAGAGCTATGAATACTAGACCACTAAATCTTGATAGGCAAGAAGAATCCTAATCCCTCAAAAAATGAAGTGCTTATGCTACATGGTATAACTTCTCAACATTCAATTGTCGAAGATCAGCTTCAGATTTAAAAAATGTACCTACCTAATGAAATGTAAATGGGAGGTATATGGTAGGGTGAATAAAAAGTCGCTTTTTTTTTCTGTCTCCTTCCAGGTTTGATTCTTATTCTTTGCCAACTCTGACGTTCATTTTCGGAGCCCCAGATGCGGAGGTTGTGGCAATTGACACGTCCTGAGACATGGAAGGTAGCCTACAGGAAGGTGAACACAGTACAGTAGCTGCAGCAAAAGATCTTTGATGCCGTTGCACTGTCGACGCAAGCATACTCGAGCGAACCTGGCAAGAGCTAGAATGTCGTCTTGATATTCTCCATGTGACAAAGGGTGCTCATATCGAAGTGGAATAATGACAATGAGGGATCATGAATTTTCTGTGATGCTCTTTTTCAAAACGAGCAAACCCCATCATAATATGTGTTTTCATTCAGTATTCATAGTGATTCAAAGTTGTAAAGGTTCATGTGATCACCCAATATAATAAATTTGTAATCATAGTTATGGATACATAGACAAAGAAACACTTCGGAAACGTAGAGGAAAATCTCCCATATTGCTGGTTTTGGCTAAATAATATTTTCATAATCTGTTGAGTTTCAGATAATTTGGCAGCAATTACTACTCCTGCTCCTGGATGAAAAAAAAAACATCCGAAAAGCTCAAATCTAGTAATATTATGAAATGCTACGTTACTCAAAGCAGTTTCACAGCCTTCGTATGGTAAGCTACCTCCCATTTTTCCATGGAAGATAAAATTCCAAACCCTGCAGAATACTAACCTACAAAAAAATTGCAAATGGTCAACAAGCTTCTCTTGGACACTTCGAATGAGTCTCCTCAGTTCTCATTCAGTCTCCTCTGACACTTGAAACAGCAAATCTAATATGGGACAAATTCATACAAGACACTTTGGACATTGGAAGAAAAGGGGGAAATTTTTGAAGCCCTTTGCGAATCCATTGTAGCAATTCCTAAATTGATGTTCCATAGTGGCATCTTACACTAAAACCTTATCTTCCATTATGACTCAGTTTCAGTAATGCAGAAAAATATGCAAAGAAAACTCACCTTGAGGAAGGATGTGAGCCAGAAATCGACATTCATGGTCTGCTCTCTCTTCTTCAGGTGATACATACGCATCTCCCGCTCATCAATGGGCATGGTGAGAGCTCGATGGAGGGTATCAGCCACATCATCCAATTCATAGGGATTAACAAGCAGGGCCTCGTGCATTGTTTCCCCAGCCCCAGCAAAAGGAGACAGGATCAGCACTCCAGGCTTGTCCACCTGACAGGCTACGTATTCCTTGGCCACCAAGTTCATTCCATCTCGGAGAGGGGTCACCAGTGCCACAGATGAGTCCCTGTCAAAGAACACACAACTGAAGGATCAAGGTAGCAATGAGTAGTATTTACCCCACCCACCCACCTCAAGGTGGCACGATCCCAGGCATCCTTCCGTAAAAATTCATGTAGTCATTATCATAAGTTTGCTTCTTATTTTTCATTGTTCAACTTGTTCTGCCTAGTGCAAACAGACCAACTAATTCGAGCAAATGTATATGAAGAAATTTGATTATATTTACTATAAGTAACAGTTAAGAACTATATTTAACAATTATATTCAATCTGGTGCTTCCTACTGTAAGTATGCCAAAGGCAGGATACACAGCAAGATACTCCATGAAGGATAAGCCAGGTCTTGTGGTGCCCAATTGAACTGCATGAAGTGGCTCATACATACTGCTTCCGCATCATTAAAAAGTCAGCTCTCTATTCCTGATAGCATAAAACTAATATACTTCGTCCTCTTTTGAGGCAACCCGATTTCAACTGGCATCAGTAACATGCTTACTCCAGTAAATCATGCCTCAGACCTGTAATAGGCAGCGAGTTCATCCTGTGAAATGCAGCCATAGATGTATCGAATGGGGGACCAATTCAGTGTGGAAAAACGTCCATTGATACGTCCGATCTCCAAGTCCATCTGCTCCTTCAGCTGCTGGTACTCCTTCACATCCGTGCGGGAAGGAACGGCCACCTGCAGCAGTGCCACCTTCCCCAGGTACTCTGGATGCTTCTCCAAGAACCTCTCAAAGGATCGGATCCTGTCCAACAAATCATGCTTTCCAGTATGCCCCACTTCTGAGAGGTTCTTGTAGTGAATTCTATTTCTTTCATATCTGATAACATTTGACTACGAGAAGTATGTCCAAGAAGAACACACCTCATACATATTCAGAATTTTATATGTTAAATCGCTAAATATACAGCATATGGGTCTTGGACCACTCCCAACTCGAGAACGCATCTAAATGGCCCCTTAGCTGGTACAAATGCTCACTTCACTTCCTCTAAAATTTCCAATTGTAACTGGAAAATGCCTAAGAAACAAAGTCTATAAGGAAACTTTGACAGAATCCTCGACAGGGAATCAACTTGAGCAATTGTGGCGCTGAAGAATAATGAAGGAAGAACATATAGTGGAGATACTGTTAGTCTCATGAGAAGTCACATTCCCATCTCTTCCCTGCTCCCGTTTCCAATATCAATAGCTGTTCTCCCAGATACTTTCTTCTGTCTAACCTAATTGGAAAACCTCACAATTACCTCACAACAGATGTACAATATGATCATTGCCCCTGATAACAGGGTGAGATTTCTCAGAAAGAGAATTCGAAACACCACTCCCACCCTGGTTACTCATAAAATATTGACATTTTCCTCGCAATTCAACAAATCTCGAGCATGGCAGGCTCATGGATGAAAAGGACCAAAAATTCAATTTTCAAACCATCACCCAAGGACGACTCCACTAGTCACGATGAGAATGTAAAAACTTGATCTGCCCAATTCATACCTCAATTCTGTTCCTTCCTCTTCGTTTCAGTTTGGCTGCCACAGTAATTTAAGCACTGATGATAATTCTTCACTTCTTCATATGGGTAAATTCCATCATAAACCAAGCTGTTACAGGAATTTTTTGGCATTAAAGCATTTTAAAGCTTTTTTTTTCAAACTAGAAGCTTTAGGTGGGTGCAGTGAAATCATCGTGATCAACACATCAACGCTTCGCTCAACAACAGTAAGCAGTGTACCACTGATTGTACTGCTCAAGTTCATGCCATCAAAATAATCAATGACTATGGGCATTCAACACGGTACACAAAGTGATTCGGTGTAACCCATCTTGTCCCTAATTATTCGGTATTGGTAAAAGTTCATCAAAAGTGACCCGGAGACGCAAAATAAGACATGTACTTTACGTAGTCTTAATATACCCTTAGTTAAAGATTCCCATACAATTTAGAAAGGACACAGCCTGATTACAGTTTTCCTTTGTGCAACATTTCTAAAAATGGCTGTAAAATACGTATTTATTCCACTCATACTTGTGACTCAGATATTTATTCAAGTTGACTCAAGTTGTTTCTTTAGGGCAATTATGGCCATAGGATCAATTTG